CAGCCATCAGCATTTCCTTCATTTTCTGTCCATGGCATGGAATTGGCTATGGGGAGTGTCATGGCTTCTACGTGCCCGTTCCACAAAGTGAGTGCTTGGTCGACAAATGTGCATGCAGAAAACTTTACTTTCGTCTCTTGAGGGCAATCGCATATCTCGAACACTGATTCCACCTTTTCGATCCATCGTTTCAGGGTGATCACTCCTCCTGTGTCGTTAAAGGTTCGTGGTTTGGCGTTTGTGAAGTCCTTGTAGGTACATGTTTTGGTGGGTCCTTGATTCATTTCGTTGTTCGAGCTACTGGCCCCTTGCTCATTGACTCCTCCATTGTTCCCTTGGTGAATTTGTGCCATTACTGCAGTGACCGCAGCAGATACAGCTGCCTGGAATGCGGGTGAGTCAACTTTGGGTGGGGTTGGTCCCGGGTTTCCGCGAGTGGGTCGGCGAGGCATCTTTCTGTCATGAAACGGAAAGATGTTGAGTGTTTGTGGCTTCTGTGAGGTTGTGATCCTACTGACTAGGTGCATGGTACGAACTTAAGTACTTCTACCATTTAGCATACAATCATGGATTCGCAACACATAGCAATTTGTAATGTCATAATAAAACACGTAAAAGTTCACTAATATTATCTACATTTGATACATGAAAATTTTGCTCGAAGGAGCATACATAAGTGATATTAGTTCGACAGCATAACGGCTCTATGAGTAGTGAAGTCACTTAAACATATAGTCGGGGTACATAGCATAGATCCTAATGGCCTAGTACGATAAGTCTATCCCTAATCGCGATGAGTTGTGCTCGGGGGTGGTGCTAAGGAAAGGGATGCTCCGTGAAGACGAGCCACCTGTCGTTCTCCATCCTGGAGTCGAGACTCCCACCTTACCTGCCTCATATGGAACTTTCGAAGGACGTCTCGTGTCTCTTTCTCTGCACGCTCGACCCTAGTCCACAGTTGGCGTACCTGGTCGGCGGTGCTCTGAGCAAGGTCGCCAGTGTTCCGTAACCGTCTCACCATGACCGGAAGGGCTCGATCGACCGGTCCTCCGTCCCTCAAGTCAAAGAACTCGTGTGACATGCCGAACGTGGGTCGCTGTCCCTGTTGTCTGCTCCATCTCCAAAGGTCAATACCCCAGGGGGTGTAGGACCAGTGGGGACCACCCGGTAAGCAGGCACCCTAATCGGGTAAGGGGGGTTGATGATTTCAGACTCCGTGTCTGAATCACCCCCTTCACTGTCGTCGGGTTCCTCCTCAAAGTTTCCTTCATCTTCTTCCTCCTCCTGTTCTTCTTCTGGTTCGGCGGGCTCGCCCTCGGCTCCTGCCTCCGGTTCCCCGTCAGATTCCTCCTCGGGGTGTTCCTCAGGCTCTTCTTCAGGCTCTTCATCTATCCATCCGTTATTTCCCTGGTTAGGGGAGTAAGGATCTCCGGGGTGATGGAAACTAGCCATGCTGTCTGCGAGAGTGTGTAAATATGCTAACTTTATTCATAGGATGCTACAACTATTGTACAGACTAAGCAGGCGTTCTCTTTTTGGTGATAAAGGGGTATGCTTTTAGGTTCCCTAGCTATCACGATCTCCTCAGGACTTGTGGTAGTGATACCTTGGAGGGAATGTAGTTGATCAGGCTACATCCATTCCTTGATACAACTAAGAACAATCCTGGATTAACCGAGATACTAGAATTATCTTGTTTGATTCGGCGTTAGGTTCTCATTCCTAATACAAGCAAGGGTGTTTTATTGTTATGTTTTACTTGTTCCGTTCAGAGTTGTGTTTGTCCCTCTTTTGGTTTATAGTTGCATATCAATGTGTGGCTAGATATGCTAGTTCACTATAAACAGAGCTCTGATACCAATACATCAAATTACGTGAATAATTGTTAAACTTTGTATACATCACATAGTAAAGAGTGTTGAATTCCCTAGGGAAAACTCGATGTTTTCCCAATACATCAAATTACGTGGCTTAGTTTGTGTTATTCTGATACGACGTTGTTTTCAATAATTCCAAGTGACATTGGATTAATTATGGGTTGTGAGTGGTTATAATCACGCATTAATGAAAATGACTAGTTTACAACTAACAAATACAAACGATCCCTTAGGCGTCGTCCGTACTACTCACTTAATCCAACCACCCTGACTTCTCATAGCCCCACAACCGATGAGAAAAGACAATACAAAGCCCCCGTTATTTCCATAGTTCGCTCAAGGCTATCATGAATGTGAAAGGCACTTGGCCCGACTCGCATTTGACTTCTCGACTTTGCTAGCAGTACCAAAGGACCCTTGGGGCCCAACAGCACAATAAAGCTATTGAAAGTCCTTTTACACGGAATTAGGTCATATAAGGCCTAATAACATGTAAGCGTGTTCCCTTCGGGCCTAAACATCATGTCTTTGGGCTAGCTAGGCCAAACAAGCACGATTTTAAACTTTCGAGCCCAAAGATTGTGTATTGACTTCTCGTAAATTACCGCGTGTGTATTGTAGTACCATTGTTTATTGATTTTTGATTCATTATTGATTCGAGACCGAATCAATTCGTTTGGTAACGATATTGGTGTTGAAAGTGTAATTATTATTACGTATCGCCGGTAGATGTAGTACTCATATTTTTATTTTAAGGGGTTTGTTGTTTTAAGAATTAGAGTTTATCTTTTTAAGCCCCTTCTTGAATAAAATTTACACTTCTAACCCTTTGTGTATAAAAGAATTCCCATTTTAGTCCTTAAACTATTTTTCTTGACATTTTAGTATCAAGACTTATTGGAAAGACATTTTTAGCACAAATTTACTTGACAAACAGCTTGAGTCCTTCAAAAATAAAATTTTCTCGGTAGAAACCTCCATTTTCGTAACTTTTCCAATTTTGGCCCAAGATGGAAAAATTTTGCATCTTTGGTCCCTTTTTAATTTCAAAAGCATTTTTGGACCTTGAAATAGTTTTAGTACACAAGTAATCCCCTGTTTTAAAGAAATGTGCAGTTTCAGCCCCTCCAAATCAAAAATCTTGCAATTTGGGGCTTCATTGGGCCGAAAAGCCCATTTTGGCCCATTATGTTTAAAATTTACATTTTTAACCCTTCGAAAGTGTTGATATTCAGAAAATACATATTGGAAACTGTTTAGACTCATCTCAACCTTTAGAATTTATATTTTGTCGTTTTGGGCCCCTTAGTTTTGTATTTTTGGCATTTTGAGCCCAAAAATGGGTTTTAAGTCCAAAAATGTTCATATTAACCAACTAGGTTATTTTTCTAGACTTGATTAGTGTGAAATGGTATAATTTTTACTTATTTCATTCTTCTTATTGTAGATCTCAATTTTTAAGTTCTTTTGACTAGTATAAACATCACAATCACATAAGATCATACATATAAGAATAAAAAGAGCACAAGGCATACATATACTCATAGATCTACACATTTGCTTGTATTCTCCCCCACAAAAACTTATAAAAACCAAAAAAGAGGGGGTATGAAGCTCACCTTTGGGTGTGGTTTCGGCTTTGGAAGAAAATGAGAAGAAATTTGGCCTTAGCAACCTTCCTTAGAAGATTTCAAACTTGGATGCTTCTTAGGTGCTAGATCATGAGTTTGAATGAATTAAGAGGTGATTGTTGGATGAAATGAAGTATCTAGCTTAAGGATCTAAGAAATTTCTTACCTTAGATGATGATTTTTGTGTAAAAAATCCCCTTGAATCCTCCTTAGATCTCGAAATATGGATGAGATATGAGAGAGTTTCCTTGAGAGAAAGGAGAGTGAATTGTGTGTGTGCTTGGACTCGGCCGAGAGCAAGAGAGATGTAGAGAAAAAGAGTTAGCTAGTTATGGAAGTATGTGAGTGCATGGATGTTTGAGTCTCCTTTCCTGGAAGTCCCTTGGACAATTGTGAGGTGGCACTCACAAAGTCAACTATCCTCTTCTTTTGGGCTTAGGCCGAGAATGGGGAGGGTGAGAGGAGGTTTTTGGGCTTTTGCACTTAAGCCCATATTATAGCTAGGTTAGATGATTTTTGGCCCTAAAAAAATATAAATGTGATTTTTATGACCTATTAGGCTAGATTAGGTTAATTATGATCCAAAATGGTTCATATAATTAATCTATTACCCTCTAGGCCCAATATGGCCAAAAATATTGAATTAAATGGAATTGGATCCAATTAGAGCCCATTTAAGAGTTCTAAGCCCAAGATAGCCAAATTGGAAGCTTATTGGTCCATTGGGCCCAATAAGGAAGTCCTAGTCCAGAAATAGACTTAAATAAGAACTTCTAGGGTTTCGAATTGCTTAATGACTATTTGAATTGCTTGCATGGGGTGTTTGATTGAAGTTCTGTTGTCATAGAGTATGCATCATACATGCTCTTATGTTTTTGATTCATAATTTGGTTTAAGTGTTGGTTACAAGGCACAAAAATTCGTAATTGTGACAATAATCTTGGAGCAGATTTAGAGGAATCCACATCTCTCCCTAAATCCGGTACAACCTCTAAGTCATTCTCTTTCATTGATTCCTTATTTCACGCTCTGTCTGATTATAATAAACCATCCTCTTCAGCTCCAGTTTCACCAGCACACGTTTAGTCGGTTCTAGAAAGTCCAAACCATCATGTCTCCTTGGATTATGACTCACTTGAGGACGATAACCAAGATGACGATAAGCAATCCGAACCAGAAAATTTTCCTCAAGATTCTCCAGTACAAGATAATCCTGATAACGATACTCCAATGCGGACGGTCGATATCCCTTCCAGTGAAGGACTGATAGTCGATGATGAGAACAATGACATGTCTATTGTTCTTTGCTCCACTGTATCTGCCAGGACATTCACCATTGAGCTTGATGAGTACTCTCTTCCAACTACAAAAGAATCTCAAGAAAAAGATGTTGTTAACGAACCAAATCTCTCATTCTTTTCACAAGATCCTCTTCAGGATGACAGTACTCCTAAAGACACAAATGAGGACATTACCACAGAAACAGAGCCTGAGTGCATCAGACTTACTGCCCAAATGGTGGTTGATGGTATTGCAGAGATTATCTTTCTCACATCTTCTCACTCTGAATATCTACAGAACTTTCAAGAATATCTTGAATGTATGGAAGAAAATATGTGTGTCCTCAATGAGAAAACAGAAGCACGGGTCAAAACACTTCAAGTCACTATTGAATATTTCGAAGGCACAACTGCTTATATCAAAGGACAAGTTGCTCGCAACATGCGGAGGATTCAAACTCTAGATCAGAAAATTCATAACACTATTGAAGCATGTCTCTCTCTGATGAATCAGAAGATAGATGACTTCATACAGTTCTTATCCAATCTAGAGTCCATCTATGAAGCCAAATTGGATCATATGCAGAATCATGTTACTGCTCATGACCGTTATATCTCCACTCTTGAGAAGTCCATTGCTGAACTATCTAAAGCTTCTGCATCATCCTCCACCTCTCCCTTTCAGGCATTCAGTGAGCAAGTTCAACGTCAATTGGATTCGTTAAGCTCTGACATAGCAAATTTATCCAAATCTAAATTTGAGAAAATCAGTAGCTCATAAGGTGACATATCTTCACTTCAGAAGACTGTTCAGTTGCTAGTCGATGAAGTCAAGGCTATCAAGAAACAATCTTCCTCTTCAGATCTATGTGCTCTTCAAAAAAAGGTTGCATCCACTGATTCCAAACTTGACTTGATCTTAGCAAAGCTATCTGGTTCAAATGAGAGGTCACCTGAACCAGAGGGGGAAAAGGTCCACAAGAACAGATCAAGTCAGTCTCCTATCATACACCAAATTCCAGACTCACCAAATGAGTTTGAGAAAAGGAGATATGAGAAAATACAGTCACTTGACAAAATCATTGTTGATGCACGATTAAAGGCTCAACTAACAGAGCCATGTTAGCTGAGAAAGAAAAGGAGCTCATTCGTCAACAAGGGATAAAGATCCATCTCTGAAAGTTCTAAGAAGGAAAGATGCCCACTTCTCTAAACCGCTCATCATATCAGAACCAACCACTCATTTAAAGCTTTCTCACAGTGATCCCAATGATAAGGGAAAGTAGAAGATTATCTTCAAGTCTTAAAGGAATTAGCTAAAGAAACTCAAATGGAGATAGATGAAGAGTTAGCTAAGCAACTGAAGGCTAAGGAATTAAAGTCTAAACAAGAGATGTTTCGAAAAAAGAATTCTCCAGAGATCTCGACTAAAGAAAGGAGTACATGGCATGATAAACAATTTAGAGTGTCTTCACCTAAAACAACTATCTTCTTTAACCCTGTTAGAGATTCCTATCAAAAGGTAAAGGTCATCTAGCCCACAAATTCCTTCACACCTCCTTCAGACCTCACTAAAGAAAATTGGGATATTCCTGCACCCCCGAATGGTATGAAGTTTAACTTATGGCCAAGTGTAATTTATCCATTTGAGGTTGATTTAGACATTGAAGACCTAAAGAAAAGATTCTTTATGAAGAAACCAATTCCAGTTGTCCATGTATGGTCAAAGTTCAAGATTTCTTCAATCAACAAGATTGACAGATAGAAATTTAGAAAAATACCATATGCATTCTTTTAAGGAAGAAGGACAAACAACTCTGAGCTCATGTTTTCTGAAGCTGATTTCCCTAGAATAAACCAAGCTGATATCATATCACTAATCATTTGGTTGAAACAAAGGGTGAGTACACATAAGACTTATGTAGATGTTCTACAACGCCTAAGGCAATATGTGCTCGACATGGTTATTGATTTAAGTGTTGGCTGGGAGATTGGATAGCTAGGAGAAAAGGAAGCTGAGGAACCAAATGTGAATCTGAATATGTTGAATGAGTTGCCTGGGAACATTCTAAAGAAACCACATAGACGTGTTGTATTCTCTTCTAAAGGTCGACTATTCATGAGAATCTCCCAAAAACAACTATTCTTTTCTGAATTCATTGAAGACATCATCGGTTTATTGAAGAGAATAGGAGATCCAGAAGAATCGCTGAGATGAAGATCATTGAAGAACTTACATGGTTTTTGAGTTTCCAGAAATGGTTAATAAACTTGAGAAACAAAGTTTAGATTATGTTTTTTTTTTAACATGTGGATGATGTTTTTGCTGCTGGTAACTTATCATATTTTCAAAATATATCTTGCATGTAATTACATTTATTTCTACTTTTATTTTTACTCCTTATTTCAGTAACCATCACATAGGGGGAAACTGTTGGAAAATATTTATATGTGATTGTCACTTGAAATAAGTTGAGTCCTTTTATATATATTTCTAACAAACATTATTAGAATGTTTCAGGTTGGAAAGATGTTGAATATTCAACAAGTGTTTGAAGAATCAGATGTTCAAGCACTTGAAGCTGACATGGAGCACCTGCTGTTGACATGGATCACTTGCTGAAAGCTAGTTGGATCATTATGATCTCAGATGGCACATCTAGATCATATGTGGAGCATCAAGACACTGATGGATCATTTGGAATATTGATGGCTCATCAGAAACATTGTTGACTCATTTACAACTCTATGGCTCAACAACAATACTTGGTGGCTCAACTCAAGTCAATGGATCAACATGATCACATTGATGGCTCAACAAGACTGCACATGACTCATTATGTACAATGAAGGCACGTCCAAGTGCCCAAAGGAACATGAATTTCATCCATGGTCCATCATGAAAATGTGGTGGTACATCTTCAAGTTCAAGACACAATCCAACATTCAAGAAACTACTCAAGATGATCAACAACACTTCTGGAAGTTGATGACATCTAAGAAGAAAATTGAGCAACATGATGCTCATGTTTCTCATCACTTTTTCTCTATTAATCAAGAAGGTTCAAGAATAATGAAGACTCATAACTTGGATGGAACCCTAACAGAATACTAATGGAATTGGAATATTCTATCCATTCTCCGTTAACTAGGGAAAATGTGTCAACTGATGACAAAGTCACGATGACGCATCGACACCTGATTAGTCAAGCCATGTCATGGGCTTTTACAAAGCCTATAAATAGGCCCCTTGGGATCCATTATAAAGTTGCTCTTCCTTGCTCTTTCCTGCTCATTTCAGATCATTCTGCACAATTGTTGTTTAGATTAGTCTTCAGAGAGCCATTTGAGTGTTTTAGCTTGTCTATCATTCAAACACTTGTAATTGAATCTTCATGAATATGAGAAACATTTGAATCATTGATCTTGAACATTAAAAAACGTTTTTCTATAAATTTGATTGATTCACTTTTTATTTTCCGCACTACTTGCCACTAGATGATTCTGAAACTCTGTTTCAGTATTTTCAACACATGGACTATTCTAGTCTAGGTTTACTGAATTTTCCTCATTTCTTCATCCTACACCTTGTTGCTAGCTACAATGGGACCTGCAGGTCTTCGGGTGCTAAATGTCATTACTGTTGGATAAGGTGTCTAAGTCCATAACTTATTTGGTATATACTTGACCCGATCCGGCATGGTCCATTTGGGTTGCATTTCATCCAAACTATTTATGGATAATTTTATGAGAGTTATACACATATGTCTATTAATATATAGTAAGTTATAATATATTAATATGAAGTTATTTAATTAGTGTTAGTCTTAAATTAATTATGAATTAATTTAGAGATTAAAAGGAAGACTAATTAGATTATGGGCTATTGGTTTTATATGGTGTGGGCTAACACTCATTTGTTAATGGGCTAGGCTTGTATGGAAGTCCATGGATGATCCATGGAACTTTTAACCCATGGATCCTTGGAAAAGGAAAGGTCATGAGTTATTAGGGTTTCACCCTAATCATGTACACTATATAAGCATGCTTATGTTGCATGAAATAGCCACTAGTGAAACTAGTGTAACTAGTATCTGTGTTTGTGTGTGACCGATTTTATAAGTGTGTATACACTCTCTGAAAGTTTTCCAAGAGTTTGTGGTGATTTGTGATTCCATTTGAGGCATTCACACTATTGGTGCTTGGCCCTCAAACTCCTTAGGAATCAAACTCATCATCAAAAGGTATGTAATCTCATCTAACTCTTTTTATGTTTAAAAGTACTCCATTCCATGTTAGATAGGTTATGAACCTTGGAAAATTATTATTTTGCATGTATTTAGAAAAACATAGATCCAAGGTTTATTAGGGTGGCATGCACACTTAGGAAGTGTTAGATTGCTCAAAACCCAACAGTGGTATCAGAGCCAAGTCTTGCTTGATTGATACTTGATGCAAAATAGTGAAAAAAGTTGAAATTTTTGTTGTCTGCATGATGGACTCGCCGAGTCCATGGGGGGACTCGCCGAGTCCAAGGCAAAATTCATCCTACTCGCCGAGTAGGTTCGTGCACTCGGCGAGTAGAAGGTTCAGAATGCCGATTTTTGACTTTTGTTGCTGGAAATGGACTAGAAACTTTACCCTAAACTGTTTTGATGTTTTAAAACTTATTTTAGTTGGTGTAATGGTTGTTATAATCCATTTACAATAGCGTATATCAAAATTTCATGTTTTGTATGTGTTCATATAATTCTTGAAACTTTGATAATCATGTTCATATTCTTATGAATTTAGAAGATGATAAGAATTATTTGCTTAATTGTTTAGGATTAATTCTTAATCATTTATGTGTTTTAATGGAGTCCATAATTTGTCCTCAAGTTATGGATGTCTAAAGGTCACTTTTCTTTAACACACATTAAAAACACATAAGTTACATAAAATGAAGAGTCTTCATTTTATGAACCTTTAATTCATAAGTTATGAAATGAAAAGTTTTAAAGAGTTACAAAACTTGCCCTCAAGTTTTGGAATTTGGAAAAGTTTCACACACTTTAATAAACTTTAATTCCAACACTTAGAATTTTAAAAGTTAAAATTCAACACTTATACTATTTATAACATTAATGGTTAATTATTATATATATGTATAAGAACAAGTCGTTTTACCGTTAGTAGGCCTCATTCACGAAGCCGGTCTATAAGGTGGGTATAAGGTTGTTGCCTATAAAATGGCGACTTAATGGGTGTATACTCTCACCACCGCTTGCTTGATCGGTGGAGGGTTGTTAGCCGAACGGGTAGGACAATGACTTTAAATTCTTATTAAAAGTATAATGATTATTATAAAGTAACTAAATATTTTTTATTTAATTCCCAATCTTAGTTACTTTAGGAAAAATGTGAATTTGGTGCTAGCCCATGGAATTCACACTTTGTACCTTACCAAGTCGTTGGTGGAGCGTGTGTGGTTAACTGGCACACTAACTTGGACTAGTAAGGATCACGAAGGGTGACTTAATGTTTGTCATAGATCAATGGAGCGTGTGTGGTTAACCGGCACATTTATTAGGTGATAATATTAAGGGTACCAAGTGAATTGGTATGGTTATTCACACCTTGTTTTGTGATCCTCGGCATCCCAGTCACAAAATTTGAGAGGGCACACTCGAGATTGAAACCTGCCATTGAAAAGTTCAATGAATCTCAAAAGATCTAGGAATTTCAAATCCAATTAAAACCTAATAAATTATTTCGTTTTTCATTGTGGAAATTGGTGAATCGTCATTCTCCTACCTTCAAGTATTTTATAGTTTGGATTACAGCATCCCTCTTCCAAATTATAAAATATTGTGTTGGGTCCTAGCCTTAATATTTCATATTGGGTGTTATATTAAGGATTTTGAATCAACTAACTTGATTTTCTGCCATTATAGATGTATGGTTCAGACAACTATGATCTTCCCAAATCTCTTGAAGATGGTGTCCCTCAACATCATGCTTCACTTCCTCAACCTTCTCCAATTATTCTCCCTCACCCACAAGTTCTTGAAAAGTTTAAAGTCACTCAATCCCTATTGGCAAGAATAGTCTATGTGTGCTCACATCTTTGAGATAAAGTCACATATTGACAAGCCGGGAGAGTTAGGTGTCAAAGTCTCATGAAAGTTGGATGTTCAATCACTTTCTTAGTAACATAGTGAGTCTCTTTGGGACTACTATGAGATAGACTATGACATGACCCTTAATGATGTTATCTATTTGCTTGGTGTTGTGGAATCAGCAATGATTTGGAACACCAGTAAAGCAAATTTGATTAGAAGATCAACTTCCCAAACCTTGAATGGACATTAACAATGGTAGCATTGGATATCTAGAAAAGCATTTCTCTTCCCAATGGAAAGGGTTCGGCCATAGTCAACTCGGTTGACCAAATGGTAAAGAGAAAGGCTAAGTATGAGATAGTTTCATGTGCCATTACCAAAGGGTCCATATGTTTTATTGCCAAAGGGAGGGACACTGATTTCAAAGCTGCCATATTTACCTGAAAGATCATAAGATTGATCAAGTCAAAAAGTTTGACTCTACTTCAGTTAAAGTTCACTGACTAACTCTATTAAGTTCCTATTTGGAGATTCTTATTACATAATGTGAATGGGTCACATGTTGATGTTTTTAAGAACCAAAATAAAAGATAGGAAGCTTAAAGTAAGTATATGTTGATCCAGATTGCGAAGGTGGGTTTCAAACGCATGGTTCGGTAATCAGAATTTTGAGCTGTTGCTTAAGAGTTATAATATATTGCTTATGAATAGATAACAACAAGGTCTTCATGTGGATTGTAAGGATAAGTTTTTCCGCAAAGTTAAAAAAAAGGCTTTTAATTTTATTTATTTTAAAAATATCCTTACAATGGCATCTGTGGAACATTGTTGCTTATATGTTTCCAGTAATAGAAATATTGGAAAGTAGATTTGATTCTTTCATTTGTGGTAGTGTCTGAATTTACCGAATGAAGAAAGTTTTTCATCACCCAAGTTTCAATTGGACAGAAACTTGGAATCATACAAGTTGTATTGTATGATGAATGAGAATTTTCATCTTTGAAAATTAAGACTAATTCTTTGATCACATGTATATGTGAGTCAATTGAAGGACTAAGGAATTAGGTACATTGGGTGTGCGCTGGTCAAGGTCCACCACAAAGATTGATTTGTC